TCTTAGAAATTATTCTGAAATTCTTTTAACAAATGCATTTTGTAGAGCAAACATTTTTCTACAAAATTAGATGTTTTACAGCTCTGAGAGAATCGTGATAACTGATTTGTAGCAATTCTCCCGGATGCCCCAACATCAGTTAAAAACTGGTGCGTGCCTACTCACTTGTGGTAACCGTTTAGTGTGTAGTAATATGGTTTTATGAGCAAAATGATGTTTTGTTTCTGACAACGACAAATTTTTCAAGTTTGAAAACATTAAATAAAAAAGGATTAAAGATCATTGAGTCTGACAAAAAAAGCAACGGTCGTTTTTCTCTTCAAAGAAACAAGGTAACCAGAAGGACAATTAAATGTTGTGTTGAAAACTACGATTTATTTTCAGACCGATTTTTCGATACATCATCTCTTTTACATATAATAAATATCTCAGCACTTCTCTAATCGTTTTCTCATCATCGATTACAATTCACTGCAGAGTTGTGCTAATAGATACCTAATTTTCATGTTTTTTCAGCCGTCTATGTTTCCTATAAAAAGAAAATAAGCATAATTTGAATTTTATTTGTTATCTAGTCATATAAGACAGAGCTGGAACCGGTTGGGCGAAATCGATTCCGATCCTGTCCCACCGGATCGGTTGAAAGTTCGGACAACCGATTTTTGACCAGCTAAGACTGAAAATCTTTTTAACATCTTATACTTGATAAAACTCGAAAAACAAAAATACCGAAGGATATTTTACACACACGCAAGGGTGACTGATGACTATAAATTCTAATCTGCTAGTATAAAGCAATACTTTCTTTTATTGTCATTTGTTTTTCATGCTTTGTTTCTGTTTCAAGACTCTCATCGCATATTAGGTCGATAGTAATGAGTGTTTTTTGCTCATTGAGACGTGCTGCTCACGTCCAGGTATAACTGCATATCAACCTAACATTTTTCATTATAGATAAACATCACTCAAAAATAAAAGAAGCAAGTAAGACAATGAATCTCTCTTCACATCCGCTAGTACAAGTATTAACTCCTATCACTTTCTTTCATTTGAGAAAAAACAGAAGCGATTTCATATGGAAATCGAGTTCAATGAAAAACACACTTAAATTGTCCCATAAGCACAAAAATGAAAAAAATATCGAGTAGTCGTTAAAAAGCATTTCGATACTTTTAGCTGCTGTTGCGACATATGCCTCAATTGAAATACATTACGCGTCCGAAGCAGATATTGAAAGAACTTTTGAGAATGTGATTAAACAACGTTGGGCATCGTTGCCAAGTAATAACATTATCAAAGGAATACGTGATTTTCACAATTTTATTCCAATTGATAGTAATAATATTGAGTGCAAACAAACGTCGCAGTCTAGTGAGAAGCTAATATTTCAGCTTGTTTCAACAAAGAATAAGAAGGGACAGAAAGGAAAAAAATAACGTTTATGAGCACAGTTTGGATTTTACGTTGAAGATGTTTTACTACATTTTTTCCCGTATTATTTTGTGAAGGATGTTTTTTGATAGTTCGTTTAACCTAGAAAATATTTAGTTATATAATGTTCGGCACACATGTTTCGACGTTTGGAAAGTTGTTAAATAAATGTTTGTTTTTGAAATTAGATAGTTTCTGAGGCTAACACCTTCTCATTGACATATTAAGAGCACTCACCCTGACATCACATTCGAAATCGCCGTTAAAAGTAACCTATGAGACTTGATTTTTACCGAGCTTAAGTCACTTTTGTTGGTATTGTCTTATTGAATTAGTAGCATGTATTGGTTCCCATTTTTCATCCCATATTCTGTCGGACCATGAAATTTTTTGATAGATTCTGAAATATCTTGACGAGATCTTTCATTTGAGACCAAAATGAAGGTTCTAGCTCATGGATAAGGGGTCGAAAAGGATCTTCAATAGAGGCCTTTTTGACTGGGAAAACTCCTTTTACGCTGAAAAAGTATTTTCCCTCTAACTAGTTTTTTTGACAACGCTAGAGACCTGCGGTTCTCACCACTGGATTCAGCGTCCAAAACTGCATCTAGTGATCTGTATCTCACAACCGGCGCCTACCTTATTGTATAACGTGGTAGGTTCTTAATGGAAATACCCTACATTCACTAGGAGGTTTTCGATGAAATGCGATACTCTCCTAATATACTGTGCTCATGGTAAAATCAGTGCTTTAGCTGCTTCAAAAACAGCTCTTCAGGAAGAAAATTCTCTTGCCTTTATGTTCTCTAGTATTGTTAGACTACGAATTTGGTATCTTGTATTGAGCAAAAAGTAACATCAGACTCATTTTCCAAAAAATCATGTGGAACACGATTTTCCAGAGATTCAAAGTTTTAGTAGCACTTTTAGGATTTTCCTCTCAAACCCAATAAAACGCTTGGCTACTGTACTTGAAAAATATAGAGGCACAAATCCTGAGTAAAACAACAAAAGAATTAGTCCACTAGGTATTGGTGTTTTTGAACAGTGGTCGATTTAGTGAAAAAAGTTGAAAAGTTTGTGCTCATATATCTCAAAATTTCCTCGAAAATATTTTTCTAATTATTAACAGAATAGATTGAGCTCAGCGAGCTCTACAAAATGGATGTAGCCGACCGTTCGACAAACATGGCCTTCATCGTCATCTTCAGCATCGAAATTCGCAAAATATCCATCGTCTTTTTATCCATCGGTTTTTCACTTCTATTGCGGGCAAACCGTTTCTTTTATTACGATTAAGTTTCTTATTTTAGCTGATTTTAATCATAATAAGCTGAAAAAACATCACTAAGGAAAGTTTGAAATTTATATTTATAGAGTTTTTTTCTTCCAGTTTCGAGTTCATTTTTTCTTTCAGTTTTTATATTGAAACAAACATCAAAACAGGTAAGTCAGCTCACGGCGACATCTATTCAACGGCTACGATAACCGTTAGTACAGCCATTTCAGACCACCTTTCTTTCGTCTAGCTAAAAAGAAAAATATATTGAAAAAATTGTGCAGGTAGAGCGAGTGGCTTGGATAGACATAATATAATGTTATGTTTTTCTTAATTTTTCTATTGTCTGTCACTTGGAAGCCATTATTCGCTCGGGGTTTTAGTAAACAATACCGCTTTAGTTCATTTTGTTTCATTCTTATTGCATAGTAAGGAGTATAGTGTCGTTGGTATCTCTATTCCGTTTTCAGTGGAAATTATTTTCGAGTTTTTATTTGATAATGAGAACGGTAAAAATGTACGCTTCGCTTATGTCAACCACACAGTACACTTCTCTGAGAAAGTTACTTTTCTCCGATGCGTATAATCTTATTTTACACACGTGAATGAACAAAACTTTAATTCAGAACTTCGATGTTGAAAGTGACCGTTATGGGCCAAAACAGTGAGAAAGAAGTGAGCGCGAATCTTCGCCTTTTGTGTATTTGGCAGCCCTTTGCATTCTGTTTTTCAGATGTAAGATTTCTGATATGGTGTCTTAGGTCTGGATAGAATCTCGTATTTTTGCAGTACAAACTGGCAAAAACTAGGTTTGAAATGTGCTAGTGTTATCAAGAAAGCATATTTATAGTTTTATTTTTCTAAGGACACTGTATGTACATACAAATTTGATTTGCTTCAGCCAGTTTCCTTGAGAGGTTGTTTATGTGTCTTTGCTAGCACATCACTTGATCTCACTTCGCTTTTTTGTTCTAGACGATTGGAAGTACGATTGTTATTTGTAGTTTTATGATGATTTCACAATCGCTCGACTAAATCACATTTTTTTTCTATTAAGTAAGATATAAAACACATGTTTTCTTCACCAGATCAACGAGCTCTGTCCAACCATGTATAAAAATGCAAAAATAAAAATTTGCTAAATTTTTGAACTTTCGGCACCTTTATAATCATATATCACTGATTGACAATGGCAAACGAATAGAAAGTTTCAAAAACCCGTAACACGTTGCAATGAAACAGCAGTGTGTTATTAAATCAACCAATCCACTTTTACACGCTAGATAGTGGCGAAACCACATGTCTGCAATTCCGTTTGTTTTGACTTTTTTATTTATTATTTAACCGTTAATTATGGTTTATTCGGCTCATCTGTTAAGATCAACAACAGATATTTATTAGATAAGTGTTTTTCATTTGATTCTATCTTGACTGTAAAAGAAGGATGCTTTGTGTCCGTGTTTTATTTCATACTTTAGAAGATAGAGTTGGAATAAAATCCTCCACAATTCCACTTGTTATAAAACTAGTGAAACAACAAATTCTATCGTCGACTTATAAACAACTCGTCTGCACTATTGATCCAACAGATTAAAATTCACCAAGTTAAATCGAATATCAGAAAAAACATTGGTCATATATCGAGCAGCAAGGTTTTATGATCTAATCAGGTTTCTTGATCTATTTGAAGTTTCACTTCACAACAACACTTATCATGCATATACTGGTTTTATTGCTAGCGATTTAACTCAGTCAACAATAGATAAACTTTGGAAAAATTCTTTAATTCAAGTAACTTCAGCTCATATCAACGATTAAACACTTGACCAACACAATTTCCATTAAAACCTGTATTTAGTCATTGTCAAAAGAAATCTATAGTAGCGGATTGTTATCCGGGAATCTTTGCACTCGAATTGTCGAAAAAAATATTATTTATCTAAAAGGCTATAGTACATAGACGAATTGGGTGATACTTATCATTATTTTTCTTATTTTGTAAACGTATTATTTATCTTTAAATAAATGTGTGTTTATTTGCAGTTTTTACATGTTTGTATTTTAAAATAGTAGTGAATTATATAAGATACTGACTCCAGTAGTAAATTAACCTCTGTACTTTTTTCTTAGATTTCATTCTAACAAGAAAGTTTGAACTCCTTGAAAAATCATTTACAGTTGTTTGTCTTAATGTATTTGTTTTATTTTCGATAAAATTAATGACTCAATATCCACCATCAGACCAACATATATGTCTCGACTATTACTGGCATCTGTTATTATTTAACCGTCGTTCTTTTCAATCATCATATCCCGATCTCTATTTATCAACTCTATATTCTACAACTATCTGTTGTGACTACATTTTAACAAGTTTTTTACATATTCGGCAAGAATATGAACTTTATTTTCGATCTTATGGACATTCACACACATTAGCAAAATCTTTAAGTTTCAAACCTTTAAGTCCACTAGAAGAAGTAATAGCCACAAAAGTATGTGATCGAATGAGAAGAAAAACTGAACGTAAACTTTTGCTATCATTTCCACTTTCTAAACAACTCTATTATCATCTGTTTATTCGACCAACAAAAATGCTCTATTCAATTGATTTAATTAATACTGAATTTAATAATGAATGGCCAGAAGCAAAAAGATTTTATGATCATCGTAGAAAAACGTACTATAGTACATAGTTTTTTCTATTTTACTTTAGATTTATGTTAATTTAATCGAGTTTTGTTTTATGTGCGTTAGTCGTAGATATTTGCCTGTTACACAAAATTGTACGATTATATTGTTAAACTAAAAATGTAAAAAAGAATTCATATTTAGAAAACGATAGTTAACAAAAAAATCTATCACTTTAATCTATGAAGGTGACTAGTATACTTGGCTAAGTTTATCTACGAGTATTACGATCAAAACTGCCTATGTTCTACTTAGTTATTTTTCAAAAATTGTGATAGAAATGTGTCATTGTTGATTAGGTTTTTAATAATGTAATATCACACTAGTTCTAATGTTTTTATTTTATTTTTTGATAAAACTAATGGTAACGAACCGTCGTTTTTCACACAGTGATTATCACTTATGTTTAGACTATTATTGGGAATTATTGTTGTTTAATCGTCGTCGTTATCGTCGTTCTTATCCCGATTTATATATATCAACTTTATATGCTACAACTGTTTGTTGTGATCATATTTTAGTTAATTTTACACATATACGACAAGAATATGAACTTGGATTTCGATATTATGATCATTTAAAAACATTGGAAAAATGTTTAAAATTTGAACCATTGAACCTAAGAGAAGAATTTATTGCAACAATAGTATGTAATCATATGAAACGACGAACAGAGAGAAAATTATTGTTGGCATTTCCTCTCTATAAACAACTTTATTATCGTTTGTTTATTCAGCCAACAAAAATTTTGTTTGCTCTTAATCTTCTTGATACAGAGTTTAATAGAGATTGGCCCACAGCAAAACGAATTTATGATAAAAAACGAGAAGAATCCGGTATACCATAAAATATATTGATCGATACTTTTTTAAAAAAATTTTTTTATAGATTTATTTTTCTAGAAATATCAACTTTTTCTACCATATAGGTAGATGATATTAAAAAAATGAGGCTATTCTTTCTTATAAATTCTTAAAGAATTTTCTTGGCATGCAAGTTTAATCATAAAGCAATTTTATAGTTTTATGTACCATTGATTTTTGATCTATATATTTATGTGATAAAAAGTTGTACTTTTAAAACCCAAACTTTAACTTTTTTTGTTGGTTTTTTTTGAAAAAATGATTAAGTGCGCGAGACAACTTCGTACGTTTCGTTTTAAATCGTTTTAGTCTGTCCCGCACGAGTTCACTTGTTAACTAAATATACAATGGTGTAGAACAGTTTTTCTAAAGTGAGTCAAATGATTATATTTTCATTTCTCTTTGCATTGTGCAAATCTTTTCAATTTTCTTGTTTTATGATCAATAGGCAACTTGCAACACTTTGCAGCTCAGTCATCAAGAGATGTAAGAGAAAATTTTCTGTTGTTTTTGGTCAGTTCAATGAGCTGCGTTGAATGACAGTATCTGTTTGACAAAAAAATGTCAACCTTTTGAGGTCTACCTATAGGGAACTGACTTAGGAAGTCGAAAAATGTTTTGTGAAACAGATACTGTTATTCAACGCAGCTCACCGAACTGACCAAAACTACCAGAAAGTTTTCCCTTACGTTTCTTGATGGCTGAGCTACAGATACAAATTTCTGCGTTGCAAGTCGCCTGTAGGACACATACAATTGCAACAATTTCTGACGTTACACAAGATATCTTGGTGATGTAGATGAGATTGTTGTACAGTAGAAGAGATATATGTGTTATTCAAATACTGTTAAATAAAGTCAAAAGAGTTAATTATATTTTCATTAAATATGTTGACGGTACATTATGAAAATGTTAGACTTCAGATTATTAGACACAAAAACACTAGTAGTCCGATGTTAACTTTATCAATTATTAGTTTACACAATGAAATATTTAAAAAAATTAATACTTTGATGATTGATATTTCTAGTATTTTTTTAAATGCTGCCATTTAACAGTATAAGAATATGAACGAGTATTCTATAATGAAATAAAACAATAGAGTACGAGTAAATGTAAGATTTACGCTGAAAATTGTTGAACTCTTGTTATCATAAACTTGTATTCATAATTTTTCTTTTCGTTCTAGGTAACATCACACTCGATTCGTATAAAATTAACTTTAGTGGTCCAATTCATTCTAATCCTTCGACCTATAAAGATTCATACGCGAGTAAAACGTATGGTATGAATTGCGAAAAAATACATGGTGAATAAGTTTTTATGTTAGAGAAAAATATCATATTGATAATTAAATGTTAGCTCTAAAATTGTTTAGTTTGTATGTACAATTGTCATTCTTTTATCTCTATTGTCTCATATTATATTCTTTTACCAAAGAAAAATAATTCGCTGTTTTCTCATCTTCACAACACAAGACAAATATATCTCATATATGAGAGTTGATTTTTTGATGTTATATAATTTTTTAATAAATTCAGACTAAACAGATCTCTTGTTTTCGAAAATTTGAAATTGACATACTTTGTTTTTATCGTACATTGTACATTAAAAAATCACTGTCGATATACTCAAGTATTTATTCTTATTCTTATTCTAGATAAACTCATTCAAAATGACTTCTAATGAATTTGATTCTGGTCCAAATCCCGCTGATACAAGTGCCGTGACATTAGTTCAAGATTTAGAAGTATTATGTAAACGATGTTATTATTTACAAAAATCTAATTCAGAAATGTACGATTATTTGGCTAAAGGTGATCAAGAATTACTCTCTTATATTGGAGAAAATGATAAAATATTACTCAAATATAAAAAGAAAATAAAAGATATTTTAGATTTTTTAAAAGAAAATTATCAAAATTATCATTTACCAATGAATATAACCGATCTTATTCAGCAAGAAGAACATGAAAAACAAGTGTGTGATGAAAAGAAAAAGAAAATGATGTCGGAAACTATTTATGCTGAAAAACAAGAAGAGGGTATTTTCTTATAGAAGATTATTTTTTAAAATTATGTTCATGTTTTTATTTGTACAAAAAAATGGTTGAAGAAAAATAAAACAGAAAATTTTAACATAAATTCTATACTTTTAGAAAAATATATTTTCTCTCTTACATCTAATCGGCTTGTCTGGCTAACGGTTCCCTTTTTTCACTCATTTTCAAAGAATCGTTGCAATAAAGCTAGGAACCCATTTCAAATTCGAAATAGATGATCTAGTAGAATAAATATTTCTCTACAAAATGAGA